CGCCCCGGTGCGCCGTGTCCACCGCTCGCTGAGCTGCTAACGGCCCGGGTGCCGCTCCCTCAGCTGGTGTGAGGGGAAACGGAGGAGCCTGGGGGCCTGGGAAGGCTGTTGGCGCCTTTCGGCCGCCGTGGGGAGGGGGAGCCGCGGTTGCCGTGGTACGGATGTGTGGGGAACCAGGTGGCCTTACTTCAGGAGCGGCGAGCAGAGCACGTTAACGGGACTTGCCGTAAAAGCGCTTGCCCGTCAGTTGTTCTGTTTTTAAGGTACTTGCAAAGTTTGAGTTGTAATGAAACCTTAAGTTGAACGCTAGAAAACCAAGTATTTGAAATTAGCGTGTCCTGGAAAAAGTGAAGTCTTTACCTGAGTGGGACACAGCAGAAGGAGTGGTTGTGCTCTATTTTCTGCTTTGCAGGGGCAGTTAAGAAGCAATATCAGTGGGTTTGATCCTTGGAAAGCCACGTAATTCAGTGATGCTGGCAAGAAACTAAACCTCAAACCAGTTTCTCTTTTCTTGTTTTGGATCCTTTTGACAGCTTCTTGAGCAAATGGGAAACCCTTTGCAAAATGGGCCTAGTACTTCACAGAAGCGCGTGAAACACTTCTGAACCTAACCCTTTTGTAAAGTCTACCTGGAATCTCTCGTTCTTGGTTACTCGTGTCTCTGCCATCTGGCTCTGATGCCTGGGAGCGAGGTGTATGTCCTGCTTGTTAGGAGACAAAGGCTTGAAGGGAAGAATGTCAAAGGAAAGATGACAAACGTATCCCCAAGTAGCAAGGATGTACAGGCAATACCCCTTCTCCTACTGTACTGAAAGGACCATAAACTGACCTGATGGCTTGCTTTAATGTGTTAAATATTTTCAGAGAACGTCCTATGAGTGGTATATTCCGAAAGGTATCCTGAAGACCGGTTGGATGAACAAACACCTGAATTTGGTTCCAGCACTTGTTGTGGTGTTCTATGAACTAGACTGGGAGGAGCCACAATGGAAAGAAAAACAGTCTGAATGTGCTACTCGAGTTGAAATTGTCAGGTAGAGCTATTTTGTCTAGTTCGTGATGTACTACAAGCTAACGGCGATGTGTAAATTGCAGAATCCTTGTGGCATTATAAAACATAAATATTTTTTTTCTTAGGCACAAATTCAGGGCAACTCAAACTCCTTAACTATTGTTTTCTAAACTCAGCACAACTGTTCTCTCCCATGTGAGCAAAGAAGAGAGCACTGCATTCTGTGGATGATGCAGTGTATTGTTGCATTCGCTTTTATTTCTCGTATACAGTCTTTTAATGCTTCCATCTAAATTGAAATCTCATTTTCTTCTGATTATTTACAAACATAGGATGAGACCTTGACATTATGTTATGTTATTTTTATTTTAGGCAAAGTTTGCAGGGACGAAATACGAAAGTTGCTGTGGTTTTGATTCAGAAAAAAACACCGTTACCTCCAGGTACTAGAAAGCTAATTAAACTGCTCTGTATACAGTTGTGATGATCTCATTTTTCCAGAAGGCCTGAACTGACCATCATTTGTCACATTATCTACGGTTCTTAATATATTATCATTTATGTGTGTAAAATGCATTTGTGGCTGCACTGAGCTGTACGAATGGAGTGAACGCTCAAGGCAGCTGACCCTAAAAATCTGATGCTTCTGTTTTTGACTATTTCCTCCGAAGTCCAAGTGAAGCTTTTGATACTGTGTATCAAAAAAAAGGAGAGCAAATTCCCCTTAATGGAGGGGCGAAGGAGTCTTTAAAAGACAAGATCCAAAGTAGGGAATGTGGACAAAAAACACATGACTTAAGTGGAATTGTGGAATTTGGTGGGTTTTAATTTTAAATTTCACTCAAGCTGCTACCTCAGCTCTAGCTGCATGCTCTCTAGCGTTTGGTTAAGGTAGGGTGTTTTGGTGAGGGGTATGTTTATGTGGGGTTTTTTTTTTGTTTGTTTGTTTTCTCTCCATCTGCTTCTGGATGCCATTTTAGTCTTCAAGATACAGGATGTTTATCTGTGTGGGAGATTAGAAATTTAAAGAAATATTTGTGGCATGCTTCTACCTTATTACAGAAGCTTTCTGGAGTGGCTTAGCTAGCAATCTCTTCCACTGGATGAAGCATGTAGTGTTCTGAATGAAGTCAAGAAGGAACACGTACTCAATGTTAGGTGTATTAAATTTTCCATACGTTGTATTGGTCAAGCTTTTAGAGCTAGTTTGACCTTGCACTACACAGTGCTTACTTGTGCTTTCCTTGGCTTCACTAGGGGAAGATGTTATTGCGTCGGAGAGGGCAGCAGCTTTGTGTAATGCTTGTGACCTTTCTGGAAAATCCCTCTTTGTACTTCCACATACCGATCATCTTGTTGGTTATATTATAAGGTAAGTAGTTTTTTAAAACACTGTTTTCCTCTGTTTGCTAACAGTGATGGTGAGCGAGTTAGCTGTCATCCCAGCCTACCATGTGGTACGCCTGTTGTAGACAAACAGTGGATGTTTTATCCATTCACTGAAGTTCTTCAGGTTATTCTGCTACCAGATGCACTCCCCTGCCCTTTCTGCGTAAGGTTGTGTTATGACTGTCAGAGATGTTGCTAGGTGGGCTTTCTGAGAAACACTGTTAGATATCCCAAGGTGTTTCCCTCCTCAAGCAGGGTAAAGGCAAAGTGAATTTCTCTATCGCTACAGTGTTTCTTGGACCTACTGGTTCTAAATATTTTCCCCCACAAACATTTTGTTAGGTGTAACTTTGTATTAGCAAATCTTTGCTTCCCCCTCCACAACTGCTTAATTCTACTAAATGTCTCTCTTTCCATCCATGCAAAGCAGTATTTATCTGGTTGCAGATGCTGTGTCCTTGTCATTTGTGATATTCTTCATAGTTTTCTATTTTAATGTCTGTGGGGAAATGGCTTCAAATAAATGGATTTTTTCATATACAGAAAAGAGAAAGGTAAACCGTTCTGTATAGACAAAGGAAAAAGGGGTCAAACTCAGGCAAATCATGGTTTATTTAAAAATAACTTTTGTTTTTGTTTTGGGGGTGTGTGTTTGTTTGTGGATGTGCTTAGGGCAAGAGGGTTGTGGTCTGACAAATTAATTCTTCCTTCTATCACCCTATTATTTATGCATAACACTCAGCATAAAGTTCTCAAAATAAATTAACGCCATTATCTGTTGCTAGAGAAGGAGTGTTTACCACGTGTGAACTAGCGTAAGCCTTCACAGACTGCATGTAGTTGCATTTTGATATAAAGATTTATAACTGTCTCTATGCAAAGGTAAGGCTGTACCGTTAGGGACTGATAGCTCTTCACACAATTCTTTTTTAAAAAAAAAAAAAAAAGTTTCAAACTTATAATCAAGTACAGAGTTCCTGATATTAGTCTTTCTTTTGAATTCTTAATTGAGATTTCATAGTAGTAAAAGAGAAATGTGTAGTGTGGGTTTTCTTGTTTGTTTTAACAAACAAGAATTATTTTTCCAGAGTGGCTTGTCTCTTCTTATATAGTAACAACATAGTGCTGCAATGCCAGGGACACTTAGTTTATTGTGTCTTCCTTTTGTGTCTGAAGGCATAGTTAACGATTGCTTTCTAGTGCTCTGTTCTTCTGTTTTCATCCCCATCCTCTCTGTTGTGTGGAGAGTAGAACGGCTAAAGTAATTCAGCTTGTGAAGTCTGCAATGATCCCTTCTTGGCCAAATCCCAGAACTAGTACTTCATTCTTTATTCTCTGTGTGAGTCAGTGCTGTTGAATGCATTCCTCTCCTAGATTCTGATCTTCTCTTGTTTTCCTTGATTTTGATTCAATATATGCTTCTTAGATTCTCCTCAGCCTCATAGTATGTACAGAGCTCTGGGTCTTTGTCTTTCTCTTCTCCCTCTGTGACTTGCCACTGGGTAAGTTATCTTGCAAACGCATCTTTGACTCTCACCTCTGTGGCCCAGGTAGCTGCTGAAGTTTGGATGGGATGAGGAATCATAGTCTGTGCCTCACCGTTTCCTGCCTTATTTACTGCTGTTCATTCCTTCCTACTCCTCCCTCTGCTCCCCAGTCCAGTCCTGACAAATAAAACCTCAACCTGTTGAGACTTATCCCAGGAGCCTCTGCAAGGTTTGCTTGCTTTGACCAAGGCATCTCTCCGCTTACTCTTGGCTTTTCTATCATAATAGAGCAATTGCTGATCTTCACTTGCACAGTCCTAACAGCTTATCCCCAGGCTTTCTCATGTTATATACTAAAGATTTTTGTATGAGAAATCAAAACACAAGGCTCATGAGAGCCTACTTTTTCTACTTTCTGCTAACCCCATGGAAGGCTTTGCGTGAAGAGTCCTCATCTGTAAACTGCTACCCAGTATGGTAATTTACAGAAGAGTTTTGTACTAAAGTACCATACTTTTCTGATCTTAAAATACGAGTGGTGATTAAAAGTAACTTACTTTGAACTTCTTCAGTTTCTGTGTGTGTGGGAGAAGGGTAATGAAGAACCACTTTGTTACAGGTTGGAGAATGCTTTCTATGAGCATGCGCAGAACTACTATTATACAGAAATACGAAGAGTTAAATGTCATAAGGAGTTCTTGAACAAAACCACTCATCAGGTAATCTTACTCTATTTTTGAAACAATATGCAAGCTGTATTACATGTTACAATGTAAAAATAAGGATTGCTTGTTGTGTGAATGTTCTTATTTCTTTTTTTTCCTCCTTTATTTCCAATACGAAATTCCTTCTCTCCCTGTGTAGGAAATAAACTGAATTTTATTTTCTACAGGTTTAACTTGATTGTGATCTGGTTTTGTTCTTAAGTTTGCCTTCCTCACATCTTACAGGAAAAGCAACATCCTGTTCTCAGATAACGTTCCAGAATTGAAAATCATAATTTTTAAAAAAATTGTCTGTACAGTTTATTTTGTCAGAATGTAAAATCCTAACAAGTCGAAGTGCTTTCCTTGGAAACTTGGAACTTGAACTTGGGCTTGGACTCCAGTTTGGCTTATTCAAATACACAACCTTCTGATTCAACTGGCAAGCTCTGAACCAACACCCAAAGCTGTTCGTTTAGAGATTTTCAAAGCTGTTGGTTTAGAGATTTTTTTTTTTCGATTGATACAAAGTTCTCACCTGCTCCGTGGTTTAAAAAAAAAAAAATCTTTGTAGTAGATTAAATCTGGAAAAAGAACGTTGCGGAGTCATGGTAGCAGAGAGGACTACTATAAAACTTTTGTCAAAGCAGTCTTTCAAGTCAAGTACTAAATTTCACAGATGTTCATAGAATAATCACCTGCATCTGTTTTATAGGTAGCAGGTATATCCAGATATTTATGAATGATGTATACCGGTTGTGTTTTGCAGCTTTTATTTGTTAGACACCAGTTCAAAATAGCATTCTTCAGTGAGCTGAAACAGGATACACAGAACGCTCTAAAGTAAGGCTTGTGCACCTCCCTCCCCCCTTTTCCCTCTAAACCATAGATTGTGATACATGCTTTCTGGTGTATTATTACCTAAGGAGGGCATGAATGCAAACTTATTTAAATATATGTGTAATGGGTGAATTCTTTCCTGGGAGAGAGATTCTAATTGGAAGAATGTTTTATATTGTCAATAATTCTGTTCTTAAATTATTTATTATAATGTACATATTCATTATCATGTACAAATTCACTCTAATTTAAGTATTCATACTTAGAAATTACAGAACTGCTTATAATCTTGTGCACGAATTGAGGGCTCATGAAACAAACATCCTGGAAATCAAGACCATGGCAGGATTTATAAACTACAAGGTAACAAGCATACATCTAATCTTCGACTACCTGCATTTAAATAAAAATCTTAAAAATGCTTTTTTCATCTGTAAAGGTGTAAATACTCAGTTTCATGTTGCTTTCAAGGAGACAGATTAGAAATGGCTGTCATGGAGTGCCAGTTTCTTATGCTCAGACTTGCAAAGGCAGCTCTGAATGCCGCCAAAAAAACTGAAAGATTCTTATCTGACATTCTGCGGTTCAGGAGTATCTTGAAAGACTGGAGTTAATTTGAGATGCGGTCACCTGAAGGACTGAACACCTTTTAACTCTCTCTCTGCAGGGGGAATTAACAACTGGTGACAAAACTTAGGCCGGTGTAGGTTAGATACTGCTTGTTAAGAGGAGGAGATTAACCCTTTGTCATCTTTTGGGGCTTCTAAGCAAGACGGCACTATCCCACCATTTAAAATAGTCCTGGAGTTGAACTGTATCAAATGTCATAATCTTTTTTTGAGGCAATTGCAGGCTTCAAAGATAGTCTTCCTTTTGGCTCTGCAATTCTGTCCTGAATTTGGCTGAGTTATGCTCTCTGTTATTGATTATTTGGGGGAGAAGGGGAGGGAGAGTAATGTTAGATGAAGTGGAGGACTGTACAGTTTCAGGTGCAGTATACTAGGTTTTACATTTACTTTTCTCCCTCTGTTTTCTCGACGTTATTTATGCTTTTTAGAACTAACTAAAGTTAGTTTGGTGGTGGTGGTTGTTGTTGCTGTTGTTTTAACAAATTCTGAGTGTTTTGTTGGGTGGCTGCTTGTTTTTGCTTTCTTCCAGATCTGTCGCCTCTGTTTTCAGCATAATACTCCGCTGGATGCAATTGCTCAGTTCAGAAAACATATTGACTTGTGCAAGAAAAAAATAGGAAGTGCAGAACTGGCTTTTGAGCATGCTGCCTGGATGTCAAAACAGTATGTTTTTGCTTAGTAATGTTTCTGTTATAGTTCCTGTATAACCATGTGATGAAGCTCATTGTTTTATTTGTCTAGGTAAGACATGAATTCTGAGGGTTTTTATCGAAGAAAGAGAGACAGTAGATCATAAAAGCTATATGATGTCATTCTATTTTGCACTGATGATTGACAACTTGTCGCTGGGAATGAACAGGGTATGACATAGTTGCAGCCATAGAAATAAGACACTTAAGTTGAGAGAACTATCATTTGTCTTAAGGCTAACCAGAACTTTTAGCTGAAATGTACATTTCATTTCAGAATTGCTCTTTTGTACCTAATCTTAGGAGAAATGCCTCTGTTGGTTTTCAGGTTTCAGGCTTTTGGTGACCTGTTTGATGAAGCGATTAAGCTGGGGTTGACAGCCATTCAGACTCAGAATCCAGGTTTTTATTACCAGCAGGCAGCCTACTATGCACAGGAACGGAAGCAACTAGCAAATATGCTTTGTAACCACGATGTAAGTTTAAAAACAAACAAACTGCAAGTAACCAGCTGGTGAACTAGTGGAATAACCTGTAGTACATGTAAATAACATGTAAGGGAAGGATATGTGTTTTCCTGCGCTTTCTAACAAATACTTGGAAAGATTAATCCTGAATAATTGAGTTGTTTATTTGATTCCAAATATTGTTGACACATTTTAAGAATACTTGTAGAAGATTTTATATTATTTCTACATCTCTGGGTGCTTGAAAACTTACTGTTATATTTTTCCAGTGTTTCTCCATACATGTACTGTTCCTGTGGTGACCTACAGCAGCAGAGAAACAAGAACATTAGTATTAAAATAGCGTTCGGGTGAATTTTTTCTGTTTGTTTTCTGACACTTGCCTGGCAGAAAGGGCTGAATGGAAAAGTGGTCCCTACACCCTAAATGTATATGCTAATTATATGTAACTACTTTCCAGCTAATGTGTCCTGATTATCCAAGAATGCGTTTATTCCTGCTAATGCCTTTTCTTTTTCATTCTTGGAACTAGTTTTAAAGTAATTAACCAGTTTTTCTGTAACGGTATTTGTAAGAAGGGGAAATGAATGAACTAGGATGTCAGATTGAATTAATGAGAAGTATTTAAATGCTTAAGTTTCCTGAAGTTGTTTTTATACAGGAGGCTGGAAAGATTAAATATTTTGAAGCAAATTCCTTCTTTCATGTATGTGTATATTGGTGCTTAAGATCACTTTTAATGCTTTAAAAAAAACCAAAACCATTTTTAATGACTGTCTCTGCTGAATTTGAATTCACAGTCCTCTGTGATGTACCCCAATCCGGATCCCCTGGAAACACAGACTGGAATGCTTGACTTCTATGGGCAAAGGCCTTGGCGGCAGGGAATACTAAGTATGTTTCTGTATTTTATATCTGTGAGTTCAGACAAACTTTTTAGTCTCTGATCCTGCTAGCTGGCTTAGTAGGCAAAAGCATATAACCTCTTTTCCACAGAGCTATATGTAGGGCTGAGACCTCCCTCCCTTGTGTTAGTTGGCGATATGAATCGAACAGGTGTCGATCAGAAGTGCAGGAAGTATTTGATCTCTGGAGAAAATAGAAAAAGAAACCTCAGAGGTTTCTTCAGAGTTGGATCGTCAGCAAAGTTGCATAGGCCATACTGAAGCCTCTGCTGCTGCTTTGTTGCTGCTGCTACCTGAACTATTTGGATTAGGTGCGCTGCAGTAATGTCCGACTGCAGTCAATATGCAGCTGGGAAGAGAAGTTGCTGAACTTGATACAGCAGCGTTAGTGACATCCCTGAGCATGGTGGTTATAAATTCATCCTGCCGTCCATACTATATCTTGTCAGTTGTAGGCAAAAACTGATGATGTTTTAGAAAAGCCTTTTGGATTTCAAAATGGATTGCAGAGGGTGCAATGGCCAGATGTTAAATTGAGAAAGGAAGATGTGTTTTTGCTATCAAGAGGATGTTTCTTCATCACTTCAGACTTTGAAGATATAGCTCTGAACTATGTATGAATACATAAATGGTTCTAAAATGCTCATTACTGACTGTGTTTTTGCTTTATTCGCTTTCTTGCTCTTCTTTTTGTCACCTCTCCTTTACTCTCTGTATGCTTTTTGGGCATTGCAGCTTTATCACTGCTTTCTTTTAAAAACTTTTTCGTTTATTGTATGTACATAACTATCTAACTTGTTTTATCTTCAAGTCATTACTGTTAAAATACGTTAGAATCTACTACCAAGATTAAACTACTGGTTAAGATGTGAGTTCGAGTTTATGTATTCCAGCAGGAGATTGTAGTCTCTTAAAGCTGCATACGGTTCCTTATATGTTGGTGTTCTCTACTGCTGGAGAGACGCAAGTCTCAAGCCTTACTTGAGATCAAATAGGAAAAAGGCTCCAAATTTGTGGTAATACATGTTGTAAATGTTAACAAATGCAGTCTAAAGACTTAGTCATCTTACAATAGTTTGCTATTTCTGAGTGATTGCTTCTTTTTTCTTTTTTTTTTCTTAAACAAAAAAGCAAGGTATTTGTTCCAGAAATTCACTTTTAGAACGCAGAAGACAGATGAGTTCTTAAAGCAATATATCTATCTCCTAGGAAAAAGAATGTTTAAGAATCTGAGTGCACCTGAGTTGGTGCTTGCATTACGTATTCCTCACCACATAAATCATTCGTCTTGGGCCCTGACAGAATTCCAGTGTAATGGATTTTTCACTGTCTTATGCAGGCTTTGATCTTTCTGATCCTGAAAAAGAAAAGTTGGGGATTTTAGCCCTGCAGCTGAAAGAGAAAAACGTTCTTCACTCAGTAAGTTTTATTCTACAGATGAGTCTGTTTAGTAACGCTATCCTAGTGTTACATATATAGTGATATCAGTACTCCTGATTTTATCTGTTAGGAGCTAATAATCACTTTGTTGAGTAATGCTGTCGCGCAATTCAAGAAATACAAATGTCCAAGAATGAAGAGTCATTTGAGTGAGTATAGATTATCAGATGCAGATGCATCTTTTAATTAACTTTGCAAAAATTTTTGCAATTGATCTGACACGTTTGTTTTTTTGTTGTTGTCTTTTTTATCAGTGGTTCAGATGGGTGAAGAATATTACTATGCCAAGGATTACACCAAAGCTTTGAAGTGAGTTCTGCCCCAGTTGTTTCTTTAGTATGCTAAACTATCCTGTTTAAGACCACATGTCTCAGAAATATGGAATGATGTTGGAAACTCACTTAAGATGCTCCTAGTATCTGGATTTGATTGAAAAGCAAGCTTTTGAGTCTATGAACTCCACTTTTATTAAAGCTCAGTGGATGCAATGGGTCACTCTTTAGATCAGGAAAAATTCCTGCTCTGTGAGGATTTGCCTTATTGAGCAAATAAACTTCTGTGGGGATTTGCCTTACTAGGCAATTTTTAAAATTTTATTTTATTTCTAGCTCACTGAGTACTGTCTGTCTCAGGAGAGACTTTTGAAACTTGCTTGCTACCTGTCATGAGTTTATAATTACGTTTAATTAAAAACTTTGAAGTTGCATTTCTTTATCTTCTGAATTTTGTAACTGAGTTTAATTCCTGTTTATATATCAGGGAATTAGCAAATGGAATTTCATTAGTGCATTTTTCTGCTATAAATAGTAATGGCTACAAAGCTAGGAAAGTTTGAGCTTAGTTCTGGTGTGCAACCACTGTCTTGTCTGAACTTGGTATCTTATCTTTAATTGTTTAACTTTGTATTTTTTGAGAGGAAATGCAGTCAAGGTCATGTTTTCTAGGATTCCCACAATGTTTAATTAATAAGGTTTTGAATATTGCACTTTGCTTCAGTGTACTCCCTTTACAATAACTTTATTGTTGTTACTAGCTGACCAGAAGCTGCCTATAGGAGAAAATAGGCTAGGATAAGTAGGTCAAACTGCATCAAGCCTAATTTTTATATGAACAGTCTTTATTGTTTAAAAAGGGACTTTATATTTAGGTATGTTTTTCCTAAGCAGGTAGAAACTGCTGCCTTGAACAGCTGGGCAGAGTTTATTTAATAATAATAATAATAATAAAACGCTTCTCTGTATTGCTAGTACTAGTGAAAATCGAGCAGCGTTAGAACCGTAGTAGGATGTACAGTTTTGCCTGATACAGGTTGATGCACGTGATGGTTGTAGATCCTTGAAACCCTTGAAGGGAGCAGAGAGTGGGACACAGAAGGGAAAATAAGTCCTTCAGCTTAAGGGGCATTAAGATGCTTCTGTTTGGACAGGTAGAGTTACTTTATTGTGAAATTTTCAGATTATTTTCTCTTAGTTTGCAGCATGCTTGACATGAAAGCAGATTTTTAGTGCAAAGCTGGCCTAAGACTCTTGGTCTCTGTCCAGCTGCTGTTTTGTCAGCCCTTAATGTTAAGACAGGCAGCTGAAGGAGTTTCTTCACAATACCTTTGTGTTGATTTCAGTAAATCATTGTCATGTAGAAATAGCTGACTTGACTTTAATCTAGTGTTTGTGTTAGTTAAGAGATCTTCTCTGTTAATGATACTGAACAAGCAGTATGAGTTTCTTAAAATACTAGGGTGTTTAACTTGTTTTTCTCTCAATTTTAATACTTTGCAGGTTGTTGGATTATGTTATGTGTGAATATCGCAGTGAAGGATGGTGGACTCTTCTAACTTCCATATTGACAACAGCTCTCAAATGTTCATATCTAATGGCCCAGCTAAAAGATTATATAACATATTCTTTAGAGCTACTGGGCAGAGGTATTCTTTTAAGAAATATACTCAGTTAACCTATTTAAAAACAAACAAACATACATGTATTTGAATTGTTGTCAGTCACATGGCTTGCAGTACTTCAAATGACTGGACTACGGGAAATTATATACCTGTACTGAATTTTGAGTGTCTTCTCTCAAGTGGAATTTTCCTGCTCTTGTATTATAGAATTCATTGCATTCAAATAATCTGTATCGGTTGATCTGAGGCATAGAGCTTCATTTGAGACAAGAAGCTGTATAGTTCAAGCAATGTAACGGAAATGTCATGAGCTTTGGAGGCAGGGGGGGAAATGTAATATAGCTAAAGGGAAAAACATGTTTTTTTAGTAATTAACACAATCTAGGACCATTTTCCTAGACTTTAAATCCCAAATGTTTCTCAAACTTTTTATTAGAAGTCTGCTGATGAAATTTGCATGCAGTATGTTTTAAGCAAAAAAAAAAAAAAACCTTATTGTAGCTGCACAGTAAATACACAAGCACTTTGCTTTGTATAATGTCTGTTAATGATGGTGCAGGAATAATCTTTGTGCCTTGAGTTGCAAACTATCATTTTTAGCATAGGTGTGGTAAAAATGGGTTTGCATCTTCTGCCAGCCTGACCATCTTGCTTTATATTGAAGATTAATTAATGAGATAAAACTACCTTTACTTGTCTTCAAGAGGAGAGTGTTTGTTTTTAGGGTTTTTTCCCTCCTCTTGTCATCTTCTTGAGCTGCTGTTTTTATTCTTATCTGAGCTTGCCTCTTCCAGTCCCAAACTGTTCTGTTTTCTACTGTCCCTTCTGTTTTTAAACAGATGTAACAAGAAGCCGTAGGCATTATTCCCTTGGGATTTTTCTCTGGTAACTTATGAAATACTTGTCTAACCAAGGATTAGCTTGCTTGTTTCCAGTGAAAATAAGAGAGAACACTTAAAATGAAGTAATTGAGTTATCAGAAGTCCCCTCATTATTTGCTGCTAAATGTTTTGTGCTTTTTTTTTTTTTTTGATGCAAACTAAGGGAAGGGTTTATTTTTAAATGTAAAAAAGTAGTAAGAGGATTTTGTAATCTTCTTGTTTGTTCTATTTGCTAGCATCTACCCTTAAAGACGACCAGAAGTCTCGAATAGAAAAAAATCTGATAAAAGTCCTAATGGCAAGTGGCAAAACACTTATTTCTCTTTTAGATATTCTTAAGAGGGAGTTGGTGTTTGTCAACTTCTTAACTTATATTTTCCTATCTGGATACAGAATGAGAGCCCTGATCCTGAACCTGATTGTGACGCTACTGCTGTGAAAGCTTCCCAGAAATTGTGGGCTGACCGTGTTTCCTTGGCAGGCAGTAATGTTTTTACAATAGAAGTCCAAGATTTTATACCATTTGGTAAGCAATAAAGCTTCAAGCAAATTCACACCAAACTATAAATTTGGGCATAATTATATTTTGGAAACAAATAATTAGAAAAAATTAGGCAGTGTGAATCAAAGCCAGTAACAGTGAAACTCCTGTGCCAGCACTGCTCTGTTCTAAATCACTAAGATAAAGAATCATGAGAAGCCAGTGATCTTCTATCTTGACTCACAAT